GCGCTCCCGCTCACTGCGCCGCACACTCTCCTCCTGCAGCGCCATCTCCGCCTGGACCCCGCTCAGCCGCCCATCCACACTGCGCCGGGCTGCAGCCACCACCCACCCCGTCAGGCATGGCCAAGCACAGCCCCGAGACCCAAACCAGGTCACAAAATGTCCAGCCTACACTCCACCCAGTGCAGGGCCAGCCTGTCTGGACCCTTCATAGTGTGCAGGTCTGCACACAGGTGAGGCTGTCCAAGGAGGGTCCTCTTGGAGACAGCCCCGAGTCAGGTCATGGGGGCCACAGCAGGGTCAGAGGCCAGTCCCCCGTCTCCTGCCTCAACTGCCCAAAACGAGAGACCAGGGACCCCAAGGATCAGACTCACCTTCCTCACTCTCAGCCACCGCCTTCTGCAGCTGCCTGGCCCTCAAGGTTGCGTGGTCTCTCTCCGCCTCCATCTCAGCCAGCTGGCGACTCAGGGCACTGGTCTGGGTCCGAAGATCATCCTGCAGCCCCAACATGGGGGAACGAAGGAAGACCCCTGCTCTGACACCCTGCAACCCCTCCAGGGCGCTGCAGGTTCCCTATCCAGCCACGCATGCCCAGGCTTACCCGTTCTCTCTGGGCACTGCGCAGCTCCTGCAGAAATTCTCGGAGGGCCCCGCGCACAGCCTCCGGGTCCAGGTCTGGAGGAGCCGGGGAGGTGGCAGGTCCTGGAGATGGTGGCTGGGACCCAGGGCTGCATTCTAAGTTGCTGGGGCTGCTGAGCCCGTCCCCACTTCCTAGAAGAGAACACTTGCTCAGTGATGCAGGAGCCACGGGCCTCCCACGCATCTCACTCACTCCCAAATGCATCTCACTCACTGTCATCCCTGCCTTTCCCAACAGCCCTCAGAATCAAGCCCAACTTCTCTGCTATAGCTTAGGGGCCTTCTTGCCCATCCCAGCTGAAACCCTCTCACCCTTTACAAACTGGCCACCCTGCATCCCCCATGTTCTAGAACATTCTTTGTCCCAGCCCTAGGGCCTCTGTACATGCTACTCCCCCTCTCCCCATGGTGTCTCTTTGCCTGGTCCGTCCTTTAGGGCCGCCCCCTCCCTCAGAGGCCTCTCTGGCCCCAGGCTGGATTACAGTGAGCTCATCCCATCCTCAGGGGTGTCTGATGTCTGCCACCTCACCCAGACCATGAGCACCATGAGGGCTGGGCCTCGTCTCTTCCATCCACCACTGTTCCCAGGGCCCAGTGCAAGGGTGACTGCTGCATAACCTCAACGTCTCTCCATACCGAGTGCCTACTGTGCTAGGCACTTCATCTTCACGACAACTTCCTGACAGGTAAGGAACAATTTACCCTCTTCCCAGGCAAGGCTGGCACACAGCAGTTAAGTGATTTGCTTGTTCTCTTGACTGGATGTGGGGGCTCACGCCTGTAATCCCAGCACCGTGGGGTCTGAGGCAGGCGAATCACTTGAGGTCAGGAGTTCAAGACCAGCCTGGCCAACATGGTAAAACCCCATCTCTACTGAAAATACAAAAATTGGCCAGGCGCGGTGTCTCACGCCTGTAATTCCAGCACTCTGGGAGGCCAAGGCGGGCGGATCACCTGAGGTCAGGAGTTTGAGACCAGCCTGGCCAACATAGTGAAATCCCATCTCTACTAAAAATATAAAAATTAGCTGGGCGTGGTGGCGGGCGCCTGTAATCCCAGCTACTCGAGAGGCTGAGGTTGGAGAATTGCTTAAACCTGGGAAGCGGAGCTTGCAGTGAGCCGAGATCGAACTGCTGCACTCCAGCCTGGGTGACAGAGCGAGACTCCGTCTCAAAAAAAAAAAAGAAACAAAGGACTGGGCGCGGTGGCTCACGCCTGTAATCCCAGAACTTTGGGAGGCCGAGGTGGGCAGATCACGAGGTCAGCAGTTCGAGACCAGCCTAGCCATTGTGAAACCCCCATCTCTACTAAAAATACAAAAATTAGGTGTGGTAGTGGGAGCCTGTAATCCCAACTACTCAGGAGGCTGAGGCAGGAAAATTGGTTGAACTGGGACCTGGGAGGCAGAGGTTGCAGTGAGCCGAGACTGCACTATTGCACTCCAGCCGGGGCGACAGAGCGAGACTCCGTCAAAATAAGAAGAGGAGAGGAGGGGAGAGGAGACGAGAGGAGGGGAGGGGAGGGGAGGGGAGGGAAGAGGAGAGGAGAGGAGGGGAGAGGAGGAAAAGAAAAAAGAGAGAGAGAGAGAGAGGAAGAGAGGAGAAGAGAGGGGAAGAGAGGGGAAGAGAAAAGAAGAGAGGAGAACAGAAGAGAAAAGAAGAAAATAGAAAAATTAGCTAAGCATGGTGGCCCATGCTTATAGTCCCAGCTACCTGGGAGGCTGAGGTATGGAGGCTGAGGCAAGAAAATAGCTTGAACCCCGGAGACAGAGCTTGCAGTGAGCTGAGACTGTGCCACTGCACTCCAGCCTGGGCGACAGAGCAAGACTACATCTCAAAAAAAAAAAAAGGGGGGGAGTGGAGCCGGGGGCGGTGGCTCACACCTGTAATCCCAACACTCTGGGAGGCCAAGGCAGGTGGATCACCTGAGGTCAGGAGTTCAAGACCAGCCTGGCCAACCTGGTGAAACCCCATCTCTACTAAAAACACAAAAAATTAACTAGGCGCAGTGGTGCACGCCTGTAGTCCCAGCTACTCAGGAGGCTGAGGCAGGAGAATTGCTTGAACCCAGCAGGCGGAGGTTGCAGTGAGCCGAGATCGCACCATTGCACTGAAGCATAGGCAACAGAGTGAGACTTGGGCTCAAAAAAAAAAAAAAGTGATTTGGTTGTTCTCAATGCTGGGAAGTTTCAGGGCTGGGGTGGGAATCCAGGCAGCCCCACTCCCTGGCAGAAAATTGTGCACTCTGCTTGGAGTGATGGCTGGGAGAGGTGGAGCGGGTAGGGCAGGTGGAACCAGGGCACTACCTGGAGGCTGGCACTGGAAGTGCAGGACACGGGTCCTGCCATAAGCATCCTGCCTAGGTGGCGGAGGGACGCCAAAACTTCCCCGCAGCCACGAACTTGGTCACCACCCAAAAGGCCTCGCTCAGAGGTTCCCAAAGAAGCAGGCCTGCCCCCGAGGGACCAGCTCTAGAAGGTCCCATCATCATCTCGTGAGACTTATTCACTATCATGAGAATGGCATGGGGAAAAAAAAAAAAAATAAGATCCCATCGTCTTGGGGTAAAAGTCCTCGTAGAGGCCTACAATGTCTATTGGAGCAAACCCTTCGTCCCCAACCCTCACTCCCCTGCTTCATGTTCTGGGACTGATGGCCCCTGCTGTCCATAGAACAGGGGCACCTCCACTCAGGACCTCCCTCCCCCAGCTGCTCGCTCACGTTCTCCCCTTACCCATCACCTCCTCAGTGAGGCGCCTGCTGCCCCTGCATGAACTGCTCCAGCCCTTCCCTTGGCTTTGTCCTTTTTTTTTTTTTTCCTGAGATGGAGTCTCGCTCTGTTGCCCAGGCTGGAGTGCAGTGGCGCGATCTCGACTCACTGCAACCTCCGCCTCCCGGGTTCATGGGATTCTCCTGCCTCAGCCTGCCGAGTAGCTGGAACTACAGGTGCCCACCACCACGCACGGCTAATTTTTGTATTTTTAGTGGAGACAGGGTTTCACTGTGTTAGCCAGGATGGTCTTGATCTCCTGACCTTGTGATCTGCCCACCTCAG